CCTGTTATTTTGCTCTTCCCCAAAACTCCTCATTTTTGAAACAGTGGTTGCCATACGGCAAAGTGTCTCCCACTTACAAATTTGACATCCTATTTGTGAGCTGTAATATAGTTATAAATAATGTTGGCACTGAAATGTATTCAAATTTTGGACTTGGTCTGGAAATCTGAAAGAAGAAAAAGGCAATATTGTATGACTGGCCAGAGCTCCATGTGGAAGAGATTTGCATGGAATAGCTGGAGAACCTTCTGAATAAACCTACTTAAAATAATGGTATTAGGCATAGTGCATGGTGAATAAGTGAATAACAAATTAACATGGTGGCTAAACATTTCCTTCTAAAAGCTGCTTTTCAGTTCTACCCAGCATTTACCATGTTGTTTTTAGCTGAATTATGTCTGAGCTTAAAGCTCAGGTTCCAAAGCAGCACAGACTTGTCCCATAACTTGGTTAGTCACACTACAAACCATCACATGAAAGATCAAATGAAGGGAGAGACAATTACTCTTTGCAGAGCTAAAGAATTTGAACTTCGGCAATGACACAAGAATTCTTTTTTCTCACATTAATTTCTATGCAGACATCATAAATTATAGCAAATTTTAGCCACCGCTCAGCTTTCATGTCCTCAGTTTTCTTATCCAGAAGAAAAATTAAATTTAACTATGAAAAAAATTGTTACTAGTTTGTGTTGGTTTTATTGTTGTTAAAAATTCTGTTCACGCAAGTGTTCGGGAAGGGTATGTAAAATATCTAAGAGGAAAGAAATGTGGCAATGTAACTCATAAACTGGAAGCTTTCAATGCAGGGAAAATCTATAGAGAGTTCTAATTTTTATATTCAGTATTTGAACAGCAGTTTCTAAGATATTTAACAAATTATTTATGCATCAATCAGAATCAGCAGTCTGTATCATAATTCTTCTATTTTTATGTAGCATAATACTTACTTGTATGCATATATCCTTGTGGGTATATCAGTTTCTCAACTTTCATCAGTTGAGCTTCTACATGATGCAGTACATTTTTTTGAGTAACTCAACGAACTGTAGTACTCTCTTGAGAAATTAGTCATAGCTACTTAACTTTTTCTTCATTTGCTTTTAAATACAGTCTATTTTGATAGTGAAGTACTAGACATCTGGTTACTTGATATTCACTGATACTGAAAAATACCTGTGCTTAAATGTAAAATTGCCCCATTGCCTGGAAGCATGCAGAGTGGGTACTGTGGGTCAGAAGAGACTGAGAAAACATCAGCCATGATTATGTTCCTTAAGTGATTAGATACTCCCTGGTGGTAACTTGGTGTTTCTTGTGTTAATTTTTGACTCATATTTAGATCACTTTTGGTAGACATGGAATTTATTCTTTGATGAAACAGAAACTTCAGCAGAGTGTATATGGATATATCTAAAGGGATGCCGATGGCCTATGAGATAGATTTGCCTCTTATTCCACTCTGTCTGTACAGAGAGATGGGAACTTCTGCTATGTTGGTCAGTGTTTCCAGATGGTGAATTGAGTGGGACCTTAGCAGAATTTATGTATATTGTGGGGTTTGGGGCTTTTGGTCATATAGTGCCTGTTTGTAGAAGGGTGCATGAACCAAGTTCATGCAATACTGTCTTTGAGGTCAGCTTGGTCTTTTTCTTTTGTTGAGTTACCATCATTATTTACACTCTTTTCCACAGCGAAGGCTTGTCCTCCTGGGAGAAATCCCTAACCATGTTGTCTCATCGATTCCTGAATTCTCTACAGAGGCTTTCAGCTACAGTTTTACCTACACAGTTATCAGAGCTATTACAGAAAGATGGAGAATTTTTTACCAGAAGATTCACCGCAGCTTTTCTTACTATCTAATACACATCTAGAGTTGGGGGGAAACAGGAATGAGGAGGAGAAAAAAAATGGGGGATAAGACACTGTAGAGTTCTACCCTAGAGAAATGACAAGGTAGAAGATTGGTCTGACTCAAGATTTCATTCTAAGTGCTTTGGAACAGGTAGTATTCACAGCATTGCATCTTCTCAGAGCAGGTGCCTGAACAGAAGAAACCTTTTGTATGATTGCATAGTGATTAGAGTACTTGCTTAAGAAGTGGGAAGCTCAGTTAATTTTTTTGCACTGAGGAAAACTTTGAACCTCTCTCTCCCGGGAGAATGCCCTTGAGACTTCAGAACAAACCTGGGATGGAGGTCATGTCCAGCACATATGTTGAAACTGGGTTGAAATCCAGAGGAAAATGCCGACTTGGGAGGGGAGAGATATTCAGCAAAAAGTATATAATGTTACTTATTTTGTTTAGTAATGTTATTGCATTTGCTATTAAACATTCTATTGGTGGGATGCATTTCACTCAATAGCAGAAATATTCACTCAAGCCAAAATAAATACAGGGAAAAAAATATCTGTTTAAACACTAGTTCCTCCATTTTTTGAATTTCTTTTTCTGTTTTATCCCTTAGTGACATATTTCTGAATCAACTCCATGGCAGCCTAAAGAATTAAGGGTGTTTTAAGTAAGGTTTCTACCTGTATATTCACTTGCACATTTACTTGTTAGATCTACTCTAAGTATGGCAGTGATATCTTGTGCTGTCTTCAAACAACTTAATTCAGGTACTGGAAGCCATCGCAGAGCTTCATGTCAGCTGAATTACCCCACTGAGTAGGTGAAAAGCCTGGTTAATTAGCTTCCTTGCTTCATCTATTTCCTCACTTCAGCTAGTTCAGTCATAAAACTATAATTTGTTTTTCTATGACTGTGAGGATGATACTCATAATTTATTCCTCCATCTACCCATTACAGTATATTCTTTTTCAATTTTGGTTGATTATATTATAGAAGTTTTGCTTTAAATGGTCTATAATTTTATGAAGCTGGACAATTCATTTAGTAAGTGTGTGTGCAGCCTTTCAGCAGTGACATCTACCTAGAGATTATGATGGCACACTGTTGATTTCAGTTCAGTTTAGTGATCATCTCATTACTAAACCTACCTACTATGTATCTCACTCTCTATCATTTTCTATGCCTAGCAGCTGTAATTTTCAGGCATTTCTTCCTACTTCATAATTTCATTTTAAAACCCAGCAACAGTTGCCAGTTGGAAGATCCTTACCCCTGTACTATGGTCTGTCACACAAAATCTTTTTTCACTAATGCATGTCTGCTGACATCAAAGCAGAATTGAGCAATTGTGACGTACAAAGAAATGTAAAATATTTAAAGGTCAAATGTTTTACTGTACATCACAATCTCTTGTTTGTGGGTTGTTTTTTTTTAGATTATTGGCAGTTGTGAAATGCTCTATTTAAACTATTTCTTATTCCTGTATTCATAACAGAAGTTCTTCACTGAAAGTGAAATATGTAGATTTTTCTCTTTGTTTTTAGATTTTAGAAAAATTTAAGAAATCAGATGTTGCTTTTAGAAACATTTTAATGCCATGATCTTAAAGTTTTAGGGACAGAAAGAAAGAAAAGTTCTACCAAATTTAAAACACTGACCATTTTTTCAGTAAAGGTGAACAGCTTCTGCTTTGTGGAGCCATGAAAGGTGAGATGTGAGAAATACCACAGATAGAGGAATAAGTATTGCATGTAATGATGTCAAAATTTGTGAGGAAAATAAAAACATATATCTTGCATTTTTAAGTTTCCATTTATTAAAGAAACATTAAAACTCCATGAGAGTTTTTTGTGAATAAAATGTATTCCACAAGGAGATGGATTTCTGTTAATAGGAAAGTATTTCTTTTTTCTCTGAACCACTGTAGCATACTGTTGGACTTTTTTTCTGATCTATCTCTTTCACTGCTGGCAATTCACAAAAGATTGCCTGGTACCTAGGTATGCCAAAACCAATGAATGACCAGGGAAATCTATCATAAAATTCATTATTGGATTAGTTGTGGAGAATTAACAAAATTTTTGCCTCCTTTCTTCCTCCTTTTCTTCCAGACCATGACATCATGTAGTGCTTGTAATCCAGGTCCTACAGGTAGAGACAATAGAGACCTGCTCTGAGCAGGCTGCAGCTGTATCTCAAGTTCAATTTAATATTTTCATTATTATTACTTTTATTATTGAATTAGGAATTGGCTTCATTACTTTACTGTGTTTCTTTTGCTCTGAATGACCTAGAATGGATAAATGTGTTTCTTTTCTTTGCAGCAATAAGCTGGTCACAGTTAAAAGTATTAGCATCACCACACAATATTGTGTCCCTTTCAAAGGTCAAGTGCAAAAAAAGGCCTTGATTTCTTAAGCAAACTTATTTCTCATGTTTGTGGGTTGTTACTTGCAGAGGGCATCTGATGCTGTAAGCGTGACCCCCTAAATCTTTAAGTTCTGTGTTTTATGCAAATGTAATTTTTTGGTAGTAAGGAAAAGTATATTCTAGTAGACAGCTGTCAGATCTTGCTCCTTAAACACTGCTTATCATCACCAAGGTTACTATTTATAGCTGTCTGACGGATAACAGTGGATCAGGCTGAGGTAAAATGCAGGACAGGCTTTTTATGTGTATAGGTAAAACTTTTCACCTCTTAATCATATGGCACTGCAAAAAAAAAAAAACATTGCCAAAAGAGCATAGCAGTAACATGGATTCCAATATTGCTATTAGGAGCCATAGCTATTGTTTTACATGACGAGGTGATGATCCCACCTAATTAACTCTCAGCAGTGAGCTCTAACATGAGCTGAAATTCTTTTTTCAGAAAAGTGTACCTCATATTCATATATGAATATGCAAACATATTCAGTTTCATTCCTGTTTAATCCTAAATTAAAACAGTATCCAGCATAACTGATTCTGTGATTCTATTATTGCTTGGGATGTTGCCACTAATTTCAAAGGCTTTTTGAAAGGTTAACCTTGACTAGCAACAAAAGCAAAATATATAACTGCAGCAATCTTTCATTGCAAGCTAGGATTAATTTCTGTTAATATATTTATATAAATTCCTTTTTTTTTTAAATCCCCCTAGATATTGGCAAATGTAATAATTTTTATCTGCGGGAACTTGGCAGGAGCATACCACAAACACCTCATGGAACTTGCACTGCAGCAGACATATCAGGACACGTGCAACTGCATCAAATCCCGTATCAAGCTAGAATTTGAGAAGAGGCAACAGGTAAAGTAACATCCATGTCTGTTTTTCTGTTTTCTTGCTGTTCCCCTATTTGTTAGTACATAATCCAGATTGTTAATGGGAAAAGATTCATTAAATTACTTAAACTTCATGAAATATGCGAAGTCTTTTGAACATGGTTGTGCACAATTTCCATCTGAAAGAAAAGTGTTACAATTATTTCTGTTGTCAAATTACATTTTTTTCTCACTTGTTCTATGAAAAGATTTTATGATAAAGAAAGATAAAAGTGCTGTACAGATACTATTTGAACACCATCTCTTTTGTTGTCCTCATGGAATGAGCTGTGAGATGTACATGTACTTTTGGGAATCTTCAGTTCTTCATGCCTAAGACTGGTGCTGCAAATCACTGCAGGAAGATATTACTGCACTCTTTTTGAAAAATATTTGAATCTACAATACTGATGAATCATGTGATATAGTTCTAGAGGTGAGGTTTGTTAAGAGGAGCTAGGGAAATTTTGTAATGATACCGTCATTTATTGCAGCTTGGGTAAAAGAATTCTCTGATTGCTTTATATAGTTCTTTTTCTGTTTGCAAGTTCTGTACAGTTCTGTACACCATCCTGGCAGATAAGTGCTTCATTTAAGAGAATTTGAAATACAAATCAGTTCATCGAGTAGTAAAGAAGATAGGTGTATTTTGCTTTGAAGGTCACCAAGACTCGAATTTCTGTGAACTGTTAAGATCAGAGAATGGAGTCTTCACTGACAGGTGTCTGTGGTAAGAGAAAGTGCTTGGTGTGCACCTTGTGTGTCCCAGCTGGCCTTAACTGTCATGTCTGTCTCACAAATTGTTGCTATTTTAAATTAAGGTTTTCAAGATCCATCACCAACACTTTTTTTCTTAAAAAAAGCAAGTGGAAAGTCCACAAAAGGACTTTAATAGGTCATGTGTTCAGAAGGCTGTCCTTACTCTGCTGGGCACTTGGGTTGCATTCTGGCTGAAGTTGCTACAAAACATTTCAAATATTCTTAAGGAGAACAGTTCACAGTAAAAGCAAGTTTTGATGATTAGATGCAAAATTTTCATAAGGTGCTATTGCAGTAGAGGTTTTTAAGAGCAGTCATTTATGTTTGCACCTCTGCCTCCACAGCTGTGTGCAGGGAATGGGTGGACTTTGAGCTCAGTTGTAACGGCCTGGGTTTCTACTATTGGTTGCTTTTCCTTCCAAGCTTAGGAAACACATTGGTTTATCTGCAAGAAGCAGGTGGGTAGTGTTACTAGACACTGAATTCAATGAAATAAGGATGCTTTTTGGAAGACAATATTAATAGCAGACATGGTTCTAGTTGATATTTTCTGCATATGTGTATTATTTTGCTAAACTTTACTAGTTTCTATGGAAAGTCATAAGTAAGTAGCTTTGGTGTATGGTCACTTCTGAGAACCTGACAGTGAGGAGAAGCAAAACAATCAGGGATTCAGTGACAAATACTCCCTCTTTGGGATCTGTAGTACTTGTGTTTTAAAAATACTGTATCTTAGCAAGATAGAAAGAAGAAAAAAATATCTTTCACCGATAAATGTTATTGTTTTTATAGAATAATCAAGGAAACTGTACATAATTGTTATATATATATGTGTGTTGTCATGTTTGCCTTTTGTTCGGAATAAATCTATCAAAATAGTTAAGACATCTTCACAGCCCTAAGCAGTGTATCACAGGGATGGATTAGTAACAGATGGGTCAATGTCTTACTGAACAAAAGTCAAGTATTCTGTGGAAGACAGGGATCTCACCTCCAGTGAGCTCAAAAAGAGCTCATTAGATATCAGATCTTCTTCTATAGATTTCTTTGGCCTTTATCCCCTCAACCCCTTGGTATATGTCCTTATCTCCTGTCAAGGCTTTTTCAACTGAAAACCAAGTGCGTCCATATTGTCACACTTAGGAACATTAGATATTTAAATATGCAAAGGTAAAATGAGGATTCATTTTATAAGGTGGCTGGGTTTTTTCCCCCCAGGATTAACACACGTCTTTGTTTGCAGACATTAGTTCAGAAGTGAATATACTCTAGTCTGTCTTTTAACACTGCTTGTTTTGCCAAGAAGATACTAAAGATCATCCACACTGTTAGTATTCAAGAAGCAAGTCAATCATATTGGTGACTGTTTTTAGAGAACTGGGATACAATGAGATAGTAAGAACACAGTGCATTTTAAAAAGCATTGGTTTTGATCAAAGCCTTTATTAGCCTGTAAAAGGTTGTAGCATGACCCTTGATTCTACATCTCTGTAACAGGAAAAAAAAATAATTTAGTTCCATTTACTTTACATATGCTACTTTTGTACAAGTGCAGAGAGTAGGATGTGCTTCTAAATGATTAGGGCTCCAGGCCAAATTTGCACGCTTTTCGAGATCATGGAAGTCGTGTATTTTATAATTGTTTTTGAAAGATGTACTATTTTTCTTTCAAAATATTCTGTGAATTTCCTTTTATATTATTTGAGAGTAGGCTCATACAAATGTAGACAACTATTGTTTTTCAGTTATTGAGGTCTTTTTGTGTGTCTTTGAATAGCCTTTTTTTAGAACACCGCTTTGGTAGATCAGTAGATAAATATATTAAAATATGACTCAACAATTATGCCAAAGAACTCAAGAGAAACCCCAGATCCATTGTTTTCAAGTGTGACCAATGTACATTAGAATCTGATGAAATATGGGGGTAAATGTATACTGAGGTACAATTTGGACATAGTGTATCTGTACCACTGTGTATTTCTGATGCTGGGGCACAGCAAAGGCTGGCTGCTCCCAAAGGGATGGGAAGCTGCAGGTGGCGACACCTCCCAGCAGGGCCAGGGCCACTTTTGAACTCCTGTAGTAAAAAGCAGTATTTTCAAAGCCCACTTAGGTATTTCTCATACACCTTTTATGTCTTTTCAGTGTTTTTAAAAGAGAAATGTGGAACTATTCTGACCTCTTTTTAATTTGCAGTCTTATTCCAAGATACATATTTAAAATAGTCTCTCATAATGTTATTTGTCTCCCTGATAGATGTCTGGCTGACGGTTTGTAGGGGTAATGAATCACTAGTGCTGAGTGCAATATCTTAATGCTGACACCAGTATAATTGCTCTTCTCTCTCTCTTCTGGGGCTTTGCATCCTGAGACACAGGAATATACACTGAGAGGTTCTTACAACATTGCACAGAGCTGTTTGTGAGGTGTTGGTGTTCAGTGAGTTTTCTGAAATGCCATCTCTGAGAAGGAGCCAGTATAATGATAGTTTTAGAAACAACACTCAGGTAGCAGATGAAAATGAATGAGGTTTCAAATCATTGAGCGTGATTTTAATTTTTTCACTAAACATTGTGAAGCAATGCCATTCATTAAAGGAACTTAAATATTTCAAAATTGTTTTTATTTTAATCTAAACAGAGAAACCTTATATATTTGTAAAGCTTAAGGGTGTTAGTAAAGAACAGAAACATTGAAATACATTATTTGAAACTAATATATGAAATGTGGATTCTTGCAAGTTTAATTAATGAATTTTAAAACGTAAGCTACTAATATTTTCATGAATATACAATAATTTTTCTAAGAGCTTCTTCATTTTTCTTTTCCTTGTAGCTTCAAAGCTAGTAAACACAAAAAACAAAACTAGTGTTGGTCTTTTAAATTTTAGACTCCATTTTTTACTTCAGCAGTGCTTGTATGTATACAGATGTGTGATGCCAATCCTTTCTGTAAATCAATGTGTCACGACTAGAAATAAAGCCTGTTCTGAGAAAATGTTGAATTTTGCATGGTGGACCATGGGAAAGATGGATAGAATATGCAAAAAGAAACTGGACAGGGTTCACTGAAGGGCTACAAGGGTGCTTAGTGGACTTCTGGTCATGACAGATGATGAGACTTGAGGAGCTCAAGGTATTTAGCTTAGAGAAGAAAAGGCTTGGAATTCTATTCCAGTTAAGGCTGTACACTGCTGTCCCCCAGTCCTATTACCCCAGAAGGATTGTTTGTTCCATAGTATCAGGCCTTAGGTACTCCCAGAGCTAAGCCACTGTAGAGAGGCAACAAGCACGTGGCCACCAGACAACTGCTGCCACAACTGAAAATCAGGCAAGGCAAACTCAGAAAAGTGTGGAGACCCAGTATTGAATACAGAGGTTATGATGTTGTAAAACTGTATTTTCTGGGCTACAGAAGCCCTGAGCCTGAGCCCTGAGCCCTTCATCTAATTTTGAAATTAACCATTGTAATAAATATAGTAACAAATAAAAATTCGTAAAGAGATATGTCTATAGTTATAGCAAAATGAGAAAATATAAAACACAGTTTTACCAGAAAGTCTTTTCCCAGACCTAGTCGAGAATTCCCATTCAGAAAGGAAACAATACTAGCAAAAACCCCCGGTAACGATCGTGGCCAACAACCATTAACTGAAAGGAACAGGCGGGACATGGGCCATCAAGCTAACAAAGGAACGAGCTCAGAGAAGATATCCATCTCCGGACCCGAACGCCCCACCTGGCCGACCACTGTTGGGGAGGGCAATCAGGTTAACAAAGGAACGAGCTCGGAGGAGATGCCCATCGCCGGACATGGACACCCCACCCAGCAAACCACTGTTAGAAAAGCGATCAGGCTGGACAAAGGGAAAGGGCCAGCTGAGATATTCATTAGCTTCCACCCGGATCCCACCACTCCAACCAGATGGCCCAAACCAAAATGAAATCAAGAACCTCTTTACATATGAGGAGACTCTACCCGGACATCTATTAAACTCTATTCTCCAATGCCAGGAAATCCATTCACCCGACAATCAAGGACAGTTGGTGAATGGTGCCTGCTTGGAATGTGGCCTCAAGGCACAAAACTCCTATAAAAACCCTGGACATTCTACCCTCCGTGTGGATTTGGGTAAATCTGTACCTCTGGGTATAAACCCCTGTCCACCCAGCGCTGCGCTGATCTATTTATTGTGGTTTTTTCTCCCGTTTGTGATTAAACTGTTTT